AAAAATAAGATGAGGTCTGAGGGTAATTATACGGGATATGTGACAAAAAATCTGATTTCTAACGCTAGCAAAACGTGATATCTCAAAAAAATGGATTAGATCCGACCCTAACCATAACGTTTTTCCAAGGAAAATATAATCCCTACGGACACCCCGCACTCTCTAACGTTCGATGAACGATGCTGAATCAAAACTATTTTAAAACAGCCCTCATTATATCGGGTGCCTAACTTTAGATTTGGATATTTAAGCAGATGTTTTTCCCTTATTTTGATTTGATATCGACTCAAATTTTCAAAATTATAGAAGGAAAAGTTGTATGGAAAATATAACAAAAACTATGGCTACATATATATTTGGAATGATCTTTCTGTGGAAATAAAACTGCGCTCGATTTCGTTACAATACACATTGAGTCAATATTCCACACATACAAATGTAAAAGTAATAAAATAACTAAGAGAGCATTCAATAAAAAAAGTCCCTTGTTTTTTCGATTCTCTTCTTTTCGTCCTCTATCTTTTTCTCTATTTTTTTATTAGTTTTTTTCTCTTCTCTATTTCCATTTTTTTTTCTCCTCTATTTCCCTTTTTTTTTTCTTCTCAATTTCCCTTTTTTTTTTCTTCTCCTTTTTTTTTTTTTTTTTTTTTTTTTTTTTTTGGTATCTGTCTCGTAGCTTTAGCGGATTTGAGCCGTTTAATAGTATCGAAGAACTTAATTCTTTGTATGTATTTTGAGATGTAGCTCGGAACCTCTGGTATGATACGCTTTATCTTTTATAACAACTATAGGGCATTTAAGAAATGTGGGACGGGGTTTTGAACCAGCCCTGTTTTCAATGCAAGCGTATTTACTTCGTTTAGCTACTTTTTTTTTGTATGCAATTCTTATTTACCTTGCTTCACTTTTAACTACACGGATAAACACGTTCGTCTAGATCTTTGTACACCCAATTTTAAGCTCGTTATAAATGTCAATCTGGACCTTTTTAAGTTCATTTTTTAGGCTCATTATTAGTAATAAGTCGGAGCATTTCACGTTTACTTTTTATGTTTGGTATTGATGTCAGCCCGGATAAGTTACTGTCAACTTTTTTGCGTAATATAAATGTTATTTCTTTAAAGAATTTCTTATCCTCGTCAAACTTATATAGAAAAGACATCAGATTTTCAATACAAAAAGACCAAAATCTAGTGGTTTCCAATAAAACGTCTTGAGGAGGGACTATTTACGACCCTTAACCATACAGCAACACTAACGCTGAACAAATAATATTATTAGGTGATCCCCCTAGCAAAGGTAACGACGAATGGTACTACATGTAAAACAAACATTTATAACTTAAAGGTACTGTTAACATCATTTAGATATAAGTGCATATACGCTTTCTAACATCCGCTAAAGTGTATCACTCAGGCCAAAAAGTCTTCCTTAAATATACGTATTTACTTTGTCAAAAACTAGAAGAAACAAAAATTCAAACTGCCCAGTTAGAAAAAATGTTTTTTTCGCTAAGAAATAAAGACAAATATATATATACATTGGGATCCAGTTATATAGGTAAGTAAATGATTCTGTTATGATTCAGTTTCAATACTAAAGTACAAGTAAATTTGTTTTTTTTAAAAACGACGGTTTTAAATGGATAACTTGGGATAAGAACTTGAGCCAAGTTACAGTGTCGATACCATGATATGAGTGAGATGTCTAAATGATTTGGTCCTATGGCGCCGCCCTATGGTCTTAAATTTTGATCTATCTGTTGAGGATAACATAATAATACACCTAGAGTAGAACTATCGGAGATGATCCAATAAGGACATGATTTCATATAATCACACTGGTGGGAATTAGTCGTTCCACAATTCACCGCTATCAATAAAACAATGCTGTGTAACGTGTATCGAGCGAAGTGTCTCATAGGACCTGAGCCATACGTATATGGAAATTAGTGCTATTATTTGTATAATTGTTTATTTACTTCGTTATATTTATTTATTTCTTGACCTCGGTAAACTAAGTTTGGTAAATCATAAACCTGTTTACGTCGCTTTGGTCTTTCCTTCTTCCTTCTGCCTTCATTTCCCATATTTAGTAGAACAGTCGATTAAGTGATGACTGTCAAGGTTTTGCTTGTTATGGAATCACCGGTGCAGGACGCTGTCAATAACCTCCTCTTGATACCTTTCAAATTATATATAAACACCCCTTGATAATTTTGTAGAATTATCTCTATCTTCTTTTTAAATAAAATTAGAGACCACTTAGTCCTAAAAGTACTTGGCCTTTCCCTTTTCTATTTCAGAACACCGTCTCACCATAGAATATGTTTGATTGGTCACATGAGCTGCCAAATCCTAGTTGCATATGTATGCAAATCTGTATATGGAATAGCAATGATTTTCAGCCAACCTTCCATGACTCCAAAGGAAAGTTAGAACATTTTCCCCAATGGCTTTTATATTTTATCATAACGCCATTTTTTGTAGTTAAGGAAATCTATCACATGGTATTTACATATTTACGTACTAATTAAGTTAGTGTTATTTCACAGTGGAAATGGCAAAGCTGTTGCAATAATAGCGCAAGTGGAATATCTTTCATCAGCCAGGTACTTTCATTTTTTGTAGGAACGTCATTTACTGCTTATTGGACCACGGAATCTTTACTACCAGCACGTTTCTTGAACCTGTATGATTTATCCAAGTCGTAAATGTTATTAAATACTCTGGAATATTAAGGAAAGCATATCAGATGCCAATATTTTCAGAAGCGACATCGTCTGGAAAGACCGTTGTTTTAACCTCGTTACGCACATATTAATTATGCCAGACAATAAAGATTTTTCTCTAAGGTCAGCGAATATAATTAATTAAGCCCGTCATTTCAGGTTACTTTCTCGCGTTGTTCATCACGAACAGAATATTATTTTGCGTATTTGGAACACTCGAAGACACGTTCATCTTCATCTCAAAGATAGCCACAGAGAAAGAATAGACTTATTCCAGAGCCGTCGTTATTACAATCTTCTTATAGTTGGCCTACTAGTACGCCCAACGTTTATAAAATAAACATTAATATTTTCATACACTAGCTTTGAAATCTTTAAGAGACGTAGAAATTAAGAAAACCAAAAGCCAATAAAAATTCTTGCGTGTTCCTCTACTGGTAGACACAGTCTTGTCAGAACACCACACATACTACTGAGTGATTATAAAAAGATTTTCAGCCTTTACAACAAATTTAGTCTATGGTGTACGAGAACTTAGACCTGTCAGTATGCTGTGAACAAGGCGCGTAATATTTATCCTTTTCAACTTTATTTTGACACAGTCACCGCAAATCTGAAGAATGCCATATGTAAACTTTATTATTTTGACTCAAAATAAAAACCAACAAAACCGATACTACATAATCCAATTCCGTAATACGACTCAAATCAGAATGAATAGATATTCATAATAGCGTTCGTATTAGGTAGCAATAAATTTGCCCCGACGTTCTTGGAAAACTAACACCCCTATTTTTACGGAATGATCTTAGATAAATTTACAATATAAATATGCATACAAGCACGACCACATGTTAACCTGTTGAACTGTCAAGCCAGATACCGTATGAAACATGTTTGAGCTGTAAGAAGAACGAATTTTTGATTTGGTGCTGGGATATTGTATTGATTATTTCAATAAAAAGATTTTACCGTGTTACCCGAAAAAACGTTCTTAAAATTACTGTAGAAATTGATTTTTTTAATTACGGACTCGTATAGTAATCACACATTTAAAGCGCGATGACTAACGCAAGTAAATAAAAAAGAATTTTGACGGGTAAAAGTGCGTTTTTTTGGTTTTTTTTTTCCGACAAGCATTCCTTCGAGGTCATGATCTTGACATCATCCGGAAACAAGGCATCGAAGTATAAAATTGAACCGGTCATGACAAGCGTTTTTAGCAACATTAAAGTTTTGGGAAACCTCCTATTCATTGTTGGTTGTCAATTTGTAGATTTATTGTTTTAAACGAACTAATACAAAAGATGTCAAATCCGACGAAAGACTTTCTGGCTCTTTTATGTCTCATGAGTCTTTCGATGTGCTAATTTTATGCAGGTGACTATATTTTTGACCTACATTTATATTTTTCTCAAAATTAATAGACGATTTACCCTGTGTAGATAAATACTCATATGGCATAAATAACAGACTGGAAAGGTATGCAATTAAATAGATATATGCCATTCCAGTAGTATATCATCGAAACAAGAAATGAACGCTAAAATACAGGAATATTCCAAGAACTACTAACATCATTTGTCATATGTATGGAGATACGTTGTACCATGCACAGAGTCTATGCTTTTTTTCAGATGATCCGACAATGTATGGTATAAACATAAAAAAGGTCTTGGGTGTAAACCATGTCGCATATTTCGTTGGTTTATTTCAAGGAGCACTTCTATAAGATTTCGTCTGGTACTACGTGAGTCCTATTTTATTGCATATAGTTTTCCACCCAATACTTCTACCATATGGCGTACATTATTTTGTCTAATGCTTTGCTTTGCATTGGTTTAAAATACAAATAAACTTTTATTATTTGTTTTTAGAATTTATTATCGGGCCTAATCATTACATCAATTTAGCCTATTTGTCGAGAAGCTACCTTTAAAAGACGCTTTTTGGATGGTTTACCATGAAAAACGATTTATTTATATTTATATATATAAACGAGATTTGGCTGCAATAGAATATACACATACCCTGTATTCAAAACAATAGAGACCGCCCGTTTATATCGCCATCCAACCGTTTGTATCACTGTAATTACGGTGTACCCATTAATTTGAAGCATACATGCATTAATCTTGAGTATCCATCCATAGCTTTTAAGCATACATCCATAGATTTTAATCATTCATTCATTAATTTTAAATGTCCATGGATTGATATTGTCGTCCTGACCCTTACATTATTTTTCTTTCGAACACTTTACGTGAATTCATGATCGTTTCATTTGTTGAGGGAATTGCTGTCTGAAAACACCGGCTGTTGTCGAACCATCATCAATTTTACTCGCGGTCCTAATTTGTATCGATACATCCACTGTTAAATACAAAGTTACGAGATGCGTTACTAACATATTGGTTAGCTTTGAGATCTGTAATTCGATCCATGTTGGAATATGATCCTCATAGTAACACCTAAGCTACGTCGCCAAATAATTACTGTTTAGGATGCCAGTATGGCTGGTTTGAATTACCATTATTAAATCATTCTCTCGAAGTTTACGGATCTTGTAGTGTTTCCTAAACAGTTAACGCTAACGAATAATAAGAGAAAACCAAAAGTAATCTACAATATTATACCCAGTTAAGATTACATCGGGAGAAGCAAAAATTTAGGGCGGTCAAAAACGGCTAAAACTTCTTTGCCTACAAGGTAATGAGGGTAATGTAAAGTGAAGACTGAGTCATGTGAAATGTACGACATTCAGTGAGTCAGGGCAAAAAAGAAGACGCCAGGGGAAAATAAAAATCTAGATTACAGTTAATTAAATTAGAATTTAATACGTTCAAATATAAGAGTCTTTACAACAGAATCAGACGGCAGATTTTAAAAGACATTGGTTAAGGATCTTACTAATTGGAATGAGGAGATCGAAGGTTACAAGAAATGTACATGACTTGTATAAGCGTGAGTTGTTTGTTAGTTTTCTCGTTTGAGACATTGAACAACGGAAATTAGCACTATTATTTACATTAGACAAAGAAGAAAAAAAGGAAATGTCCAAGAAGAACTAAAAAAAAAAAAAAAAAAAAAAAAAAGATTCTTTTAAAAACCAAGGTCACACAAACATAATTGATCCTCCAAAAACTATCAGCCTTTATTTAACATAAAACATAGCGTATGAGCAACAACAACCCTCGCTTACGTTTGAAGTTTTTTAAGATCAATATACTAAACGCAACTAATTGCTTACTGTCGTCAGGACTTGCTCTCGGGTTTTTTTTTTCAAATAAATCTACTTTTTGGAACTCCGGATAATACCTCCATAACCTTTTCTTTCGTTCCTTAATGACTTTTAACCCATACTTATAAATTGCCTTGCCCATGTTTATAATCAAGAACACGCGGACTCGTAGAAAGCAAGTCCAACAAACCTAAAATTATTCACCTGTGCATTGTGCTGGAAATATGTATATTACACCCAATACTGTAACTAGTTGTAACAGTCATTTTAATAGGTTCATAAAAACGTTGGGAATTCAAATGACGTTTGTCTCTAATGCAGCTCCAGGTTTAAAAGTGTCACAGTAACACCCTATGTTCTCTATTTTTGCCATGTTACAACTAGTTTGTCTTTATTTAAACTTTTCAATGTAAAGCATTTGACTGACAGTACAATTTGAGTGTTAATTTTGAATCTATTCATTAGAGATAATCTCCGTGATTCTTGAATATCAGCAGATTAGTATGAAATAAAGAAAATAATGCGGTGGGATTTGTAGTTACTATTGAGAAGACATCCCTCTCTATGGGAAATAAACGAAATGACATGGCTATAACCTGATGATATTTACAGCTGAGCCAGCTTATAATACCTAATAACTTTTGATAAGAGATACCAATATTTTGTATGTCACTCTTTTTTATTGCATAAAATTACATAAAATGCTCGGGGATAATTTATTCTTAAGACCACGAGTGCGAATTAACTGAAATTATAAATAATCCATTCAACATCATATGATGAACCATCATTACCCAATAAACATATCTTTCATATCCTTAAGTATTTGAATATACACTATTTCCCGAAATTATTGGCGCACTTTTCAAAAAAAATTAGGCTCATTGAGAGAAAAAAAATTGCTTCAAAGTCCGAAAAAAAATAGGTTCATTGACAAATCAGAATTTGACCCATAAATAAAAATGCTTAGGCTCAAAAAAATAGAAAAAATTAGCCCAAAAAAATATTAAATGTTAGCGCAAAATTAGATCTTTCTTTTTATTAAAATGAACACCTTTTTGCTTGACGATGGTACAGGACGATTACACGATGACACTGGAAATGAAGTAGCAGTTCTTGACATGGAGGTCGACGACGACCTTTTTCCTTTGGGCGAGATAACTGAATATAGACAATATCTCGATCTGAAGCCAACCGAGAAAGCTCCCAAACAACGCAAGGCACCTAAACGAGAGGTAATTGAGGCAAGTCCTTCTCAAATAGCTACCGATAAAGGGGGTAATCCGGGAACTTATAGATCTTACAAGGATGAGGACAAGGAAGCTCTTTTTTTTTTAATTTATGAAAAAGGATGTAGCGTCCGTAGTGCCGCATCAAAATTAAATATACCTCCCACGACTGCTCGCAACTGGCTTAAAAAAGAAGAAGAGAACAACAATGTGGAAGTAACTGGAAGAAAACCTGGCAGCGGTAGACCAGCAGGAAGACCAACTGTTTTCAATGATGAACATAAAGGATATTTGACTGAGCTGATTGACAACAAGCCTGATATTGTGCTGGACGAAATGATCGAAAGCTTGACGACTCAGTTTATTGATCTTGACATTTCTAAGTCTGGTTTGCATAGATTTGTGACCGAAAAGTGCAACATCAGTTTGAAAAGAGCACATTTTCATTCAGTGGAACGAAATAGCCCAGCAAAACTTGAGGAAAGATATGAATGGGTCAAGAAATGGCAGGACACTGACATGGATTATATGAGCAATTGTGTATTTGTGGATGAAGCAGCATTTCATATCAACATGAAACGCTCTTTTGCTTGGTCAAAAAAAGGTACTAGAGCAGTTGTCCAGGTTCCAAAAACAAGAGCTAGAATGACAACTATACTTGGTGCTGTATCTAGTCTCGGCGTTGTAAATATGAGAGTTAAGCGTCCAAAAGCGGTAGCTCCTCAAAAGAAAAGGAAAGCAAATGGGGGTGTAGTGAATTCTGCCAATGTGAAAGGGAGAGGTGGTACTGTTACAGGCCATTACTTTAACTTTATTGCCAGTACATTGGATGTTATGGACCAGCATGACGAGTTTAAGGGGCATTACATCATTATGGATAATGCACCCATTCATACAAATAAGGATATACAGCTGTATATTGAGGGCAGGGGTTACGGTTGCATTTATCTTCCGCCCTATTCACCTGAGCTCAATCCCATTGAACAATTTTGGTCAGTGTGTAAGAGTAAGCTCAAAAGAGAGACGCTTTTAAGTGAAGAAACCTTGACCTCCAGAATCCAAGATGCCTGCAACAGAGTTCTCTTGAGTGATTTGAAAGGATTCTGTAGGTATTCTGTCTCCAAGTTCAGCGATTGTATCGAGCGTAAACCTTTATAATGCATTCACAATTTGGTGCACTTGGCTCACCCTCAATCTGTTCCATTTTATTAAGAATTTTTAAGCCTTTTTTTTTATATATCTGAACCAATTTTATTTTTGTAAATAAACCTATTTTATTTCGGACTTTGAAGCAATTTTTTTTCTCTCAATGAGCCTAATTTTTTTCGAAAAGTGCGCCAATAATTTCGGGAAATAGTGTATGTTGATATACAATAAATAAAAAAATTAAGGTAAAACTAATCTCGCATTTGAGAAATAAAGGCTAAAACTGTTCACAAGGAACAACTAAATCAGTGATTATCTTTCTGCTGTATTAGTAAGACTGTACGATTGTCATTCAAACCATACTAAAATTTTGAGACTTTTGGACTCTCACTTGGGCTTTCTAAAAAGGAATTTAATTTTTTTTTAAAGCAAGTCATGGTATGCGTTATGAAACTCGAATTGTTTTCTATATAAACATACATTGCTCAATGGCGTAACAAAAAATAACGTTTTAACCTTCAAAGTAAATTAAACAGCTTGTACGAGTGGAAATCACATGCCATCTGTTTTTTTTGTGGCTAGCATTTTGACGTAATACATCGTTTTTCTATTTTTTAAAAAATGCTGTGACTCTAAGATGAACAATAATTCCTCCCTTCATTACAACTCTACGTCCCCAACAAAAACTATTGCTAAATAAATCTTTTTTTTGAAAAACAATGTAAATGTAGAATTTTTAAAGAAAGAAAAAGAAAGTTTATTTTCCATCTTGTCTGTCACCAAAACCAGAAAGTCGTTTTAATCCTTTATCCCCTATTAAATTAAAAAATGATTTTACCATAAAAGTTAGTCAAATTTTTGCTAACATTGTTTTTGCGTGCGATATACCTTTTTGCATGGGGATGGCTGAGAGGGTCTTAAGCCCAGCATTGTCCCTTACTCGGTGAGAACGGACGTCTTTAAGCCCCGCAATCACACCAGCCGGAGAAAGAGAAGAAGACACCTCAGCAGCAGAAGAAACAGCCGAGCCAGAGCAAGGAATTGACACACAAGGTGCAACAGACACCAAGGGAGAAGGCAAGCAAACATCCATTTCCTCCAAAAAGGGGACAACAGGAGAGCCAAACACCGAAGAACCAGCAGCACCAGACGAAGAAGAAGGCAAGAGAGAATTGGCAATAAGCCAAGCTTTCGTTATGGCTTCACAGCCAAAAAGGACAGGTGAAGCGGAAGAAGGACGAAGAACAATCGGGTCTCTAGCCAAACTAAAACATGGCGCACCAAGAAAGCACGAACAACCAGGAAAAGAACAACGAAGCGTCTCAAGAATTGTCCTGGGACGACGAGCAGGAGGAGGGACAGGAGAAGAATAAGGGAAAGGATTGACATCAACTGCCGAAAAAGACACAGGAGAAGGCAACGCAACAAAGACGCTCTTGATGGTGACGGGTTGAGCTGGTAGTCCAGACTCGTTTTCATACCCCCCAAATAGTCCCAAATACCCAGCAGGTACAAGAGAAACAGCCAGAAAAAAGAAACGCAGAAGTACTTCCCACAACAGAAGCACGATGGCTTTTCCTAAAACCCAAGGGAAAAAAAAGAAGGCAAGAGAGCGAATGTCTCAACAGCAAACATAAATCTGTTTGAAATGCTACGTTAGAATTTTTCTAAATGTACCACATGTCTGCTACATTCGTTATACTTACTCATCAATGAACAAAATTAAGAACATTTTGGAAAAGCTGTAAAGAAATAAAAAATACCACGGCGTTTCTATTAAATAATATTTTTTGTTTACCAAGAAAAGAGGTCACGTCAATTACGGCGGAAAAGCATGACCAAATTTTAATACTTACGCCGCATGACTATTCCTTCCTGTTTCTTTTCTGTCTTCGCTATTTCTCATACCTCAAGCATCTAACATTGACAAAACGTTGCCATCAGTAATGTGGACATTGTCACCTATGGAATGAAGAGGCATTAGGTTTGATTTTAATTTTAAGGAAAAAACCCCACTCAACAGAATTTGCGCTTAAACATGACATACTGAACCACCTAAAAATACACCGATGACGAGATCTGACATCGATTCTTGCTTGTTTCAACTTCAGGTTTCTATTTATGGATTATCATATCTTTTCGCAGGTCAACCAGAATTACCCTTCCAAAATAGTTAGAACGAAGGTTACATCAAAAACAGACTGTCCATACTTCATTTACCAAAACCAAAACAAAAAATAATAAGACAGCGCACCTCCACCGTCATAGTTATAAAAGTTCAAAGAAATCCTGCCAAAGCGTAATTTTTAACAAGACAGCTCTGAGCACTCTTTTTTTACTGACTTTCAAAATTAAGTCCGTACAACAAATTCAGATGTATAATATTGACCAGTTGAAAATAGTGACCACTTTACTGGGTATTGCATGGAAATCGAACTGCCATTCAAAAAGTTGCTTTCAGATCACTCAAGTAATTGCGGCGTACATGATAGATGTTTTTCGCAATACCATCGAGATTATTGGTAACGTATCAAAAAGAAATAAAATATTTTTCGTATATATTAATTGTATTTATTGTCCAAGATTACGCTCAATGTCATCGCACGGTTTCCCTACCTATGACACCAAAATTATGAGACACAAATAATTTCGGAGGTATAGACAGAGGATAACATGGAAGATATTGTTAATGTCTTACAAGGTAGTTCCAAGGCTGAGGTAAAAATGAAACTGATGTAAAATGGGTATCCCAAAGACAAGGGATAAAGTAGATAGATTATTTGGAACAGAGACGTTAGACAGGATACAATAGTGACGTTTGACCGTGACATGTGTGAAAGGAGCCAGAGAACTGGGAACAGGTGCAGCAAGCGCAATAAGCTAGTTGGGTTTCAATAATGGTCTGAGACATTTTGCATGATTATATGCAAATGAAACGTAGGCGGATCATGACATAAAACGTATCATACGAAATTTATGTGCAAGATCGGAAATGGAATAAAAAGAATCACGTTTTTCAGCACTACTAAACGGGTCATATCGATTAAATTTAACGAAAGAATACGAAAGAAAAAAGGAATTTAGAATTAAAAAAGAAAAATAAAATATGAAAAAAATAGAAAAAAAAAAGTGCAAAAAAAAGAAATAAAAAAAGCAAAAAAACAGAAAAGAAAAAAAGATACCTTTTTCTATTGCGTGGTTTTATGGTTATTTAATTAATTTACATTTGCACGTGTACAATATCAGCTGAGCATGTTTTGTAACGAAGTCGTGCGCTGTTGCGTTTCCACAGAAAATTCATTTCAGATGTAGATTTAGCCATATTCTTTGATAGTTTTTCAAAAAACCTTTAATTATACAACTCTGCCAGTATGTTTTGAAAATAAAACTAGTGCAAGGCATAAGCATTTGCGTAAATATCCTAATTTAAAGTTAGTACCCTATATAATGTATTCTGTCTTATAATATTTTTGGCTCAGCATCGTCCATCGAACGTTAGAGAGTGCTGGGTGTCCGTAGGATTTATGTTTGGTTTTGGACAAGCGTTATGGTTAGGGTCGGATCTCATCCATTTTTTCAGATATCACGTTTTATTAGCGTCGGAACTCAGATTTGTTGGTCACATATCCCGTATTATTACCGTCGGACCGCGTCTTATTTTTGGAAAAACGGATGAGGTCCGACCCTATTAAAACAGGTAGAATGCAGTCACTGGCAGAGCGAAGATCCAGTCACAAAAATGTCACGGATTAAACTGCTAGGGCCGGTGCGGGTTGTTTTACCTCGAAATTTGGGTGGAAGGGGGACCCTCACAACAGAATTATACTAATCAAAAAACCCATAATGCAAACAAATTCTACTAATTAAGAACGAACATATTGGTAGTCTATAATTAACCAATCACGCATTGAATTTGTATTCCTGTATATAGTTGAAAACCATCTTACATCTATAGTCCAAAAGAATCTATTGATATGGAGTTCAATACGGATATTTACCATCTATTGATCAATTAAGGACCTAAAAGATAGTCGATACATAGGAATTGTAAACTCCATCATAAAAGTTTATTCGCTGGTATTCCATGATTTTAAGCCAAAACGTTTTGTATTTTTGGTTCAGAAATTATTATTTTTGACCGCTTCCATAAGCACATTAAACGCACCTTTTCATGTTCTAAGGGTTATTATAAAAATAAATGTAACATATATAGCGTTTTTTATTCAAAAAGAATTTATCCGACTTTTCAATACTAACTCTATCGACGTTGTACACCTAACTTAATATCTGCTTGAAAGATACTAGCTGTTCAGTAAGGATAGTTATCACGACTTTTTATATTTTGGCCGCGATAATGATATTCAATGTACTTCAATATCACTTACGAATATCAGTTTAATCATCTGACGTTCATATTATCCATTTGTAGGTTTAAATTTGTGTTCAACAACACACGCCTTCGGAAAACATGAGCGTCGAACTTCAAACCACATATTTTAATGATTGAAACTCGCATAAAAAACACCCTGAAGGACCCAAGCAGGAATATGCTACTGTCTTACCAGCTTAATTAATGTGTTTTTGTGTTCGATATAACCCAGCATGTAGAAACTCTAAAGTCTAATTAAACATGCAATTTTATCATTGATATACTGGTATTGATGATCTACCTTTTAGGATCTTGCTATAGGTGCCTCAATATAATTGAAGGATCGCATTCAAAATTTATGGTATTTGATGTAGATTCTTACAAGGATAATATAGTGACGATAACGTTAGGAAATATTTCCTTTGCTGTATGCCGGTTGCTTTATTTATCTTCGGAAACTTGTAAGAATAAAGATCCACATGGCTTGACTGTTTCAATAGACACATCCGGGCTGTTCATAGCATCAAGTGAATATCAACCAATTTTCGCAGATAAGTATGAAGCGGCAGCGTACGTCATCACAATACGATAATTCCTCAAACATCACAGCCAAATATATATACCGAGACCATGCACAATATTAACATTCGTCGTCCTTAAATCACAAACAACATCTTATCTAAAGTCTAAATAAAATAAATAATGGGATCAGCAAACCACTAAATACGAACAGCAATCACCATTACTTTTTCCTGGCTGGTACTAGAATCTCCTCCACCAAATGTTTCCTGTACAACACTTCTAAAAACCAGGATCCACTATTTTCATGCATTTTTCGGCTATTATCTTAAACACTGCCTGAAAAACAAAAGTTGTTCCATATTATTATACACTTGTCGCAGGCTGCATGACACACATTCGAGATTCTACACAAATTAAATACCACAAATGAGCAGGAAATTCGATCAAACAGAGGATTAATCATTACCTCTTCTTTTTCTTGTTCTATAATTTTTTCAAGTTAGTTCCAAGCATACCAGTACAAATTTTTTTTTTCAGGACATTACCCTACCACCGACTGTCCCCAAATAAAAAGAATACACGGAATCAATATACTAAATTACTTGTTACATCTTGTTTTTTCTTCGTAATGCTTTTGACGTTGTGTGCTTTCTATAGGTACGAAGTAATGAAGTGTATTCATCTTCGTAAACGAAATTCTGAAGCAAAATGAAGTCATACTAAATTCTTAAATGTGACATAAGCAAACGGTTATAAATTATGAAACAAATCATTGTCCCTTCGGCCATTAGAAATATATACCTTGTTTACTTCCCAAACAATAGCGCCAGCTTTTGATGATCCAATTTTATCGCACCAATCTGAAAAAAGTTTCAGATACCTAATTAATATAAACAGAACAAAACCAATATCATTTAGAGACATTAATTAAGCATATGTTAAAGAATAATACCATCAAAACGTAGACTTAATATCGCCAAGAGAAAAAACCGAATGAATCAAGAAAAAGTGAATATATTCTTCTTGACACGGTAATTGCAGAGCGCACTCCATTCAGGAGGAAGCAAGCTTCGACACATTTGCGGTTATTCATAAAGAGTGATAACCGCTCATGCTTGACTTGATGTCGACTTTAAGAAAGCGAAATAAATATAAAAACAGATATTTATTTTTTGAATTTATACAGAGTTCCTACAGTGCAGTACAAACTTCAATCAGTAATAAAGCAAATTCCAGACATATGAGGCGTGATTCCCATTGGGACCTGATTTGGGGTCAACATTAAGAAAGCAAATAAAAATAAGAGGTTTTTTTTTCTTGAGCTCATAAGATATACCAGCTGTGCAGTGCAACCTTTAGCTCGTGGACAAGCGGGCCACCATACATAACCCGTTTCTTTTAGGGAGTGATTTCAGCAGAGTCATTTCCTGATGTCGTCATTACGGAAATGAAGCGAAACATTTTTTTTCTTAAGCGAACAACAGACAACACAATGGTAGCACACACTCCAGTAGTCAAGAACAATCATCCTTCAACGTGCACGCTGTTAGGTATAGAGCGTGATTCCTGAAATTCCTGCCCCCATGTCGCCATTGAGAAAGTGTAAAGAATGAAAACAAAGATTATTTTTCTGGAGAGCATAAGAGACAACGCCATTGCAGTACATAATTGCATTGACAGTACGCAGATTTTCAGACATAAGTCGTTATGAATGAAGAGTGAGTCAAGCCAAATCTTGACTGAAGGTCGCCATAATAGAGCCAATTGAATTTTAAAATATGGAAGATCTTTTTCTTCTTGAGCGAAATAGAGAAACGACCATTACAGTGATTACTCCAGTCAGCAACAGGCGGCTGTCCACACATTAGCCGTTATTTAAAGAGAGTAATTCTAAAAGAGCCATCGATTGACGTCGCCATTCAAAAAGCGAAGCTAACAAGAAATCAGGCCCTTTTGGTTCCTTAGTAATACCTGTCCTATCCGCCACCGAATCACATATTCAAAGACGTCCCCCATTTTTCGCTTCAGAAACGCTAGTTTTACTATAACATAATAAATTATCATTTAGTATACGTATAAATCACAGCATGAATTAAAGCGTATTACCTGTAGCGTTAGATAGTAACGTTTTACAGGCCTATAGTGGCATGTGTGAACAATTTCTTGGAGTTTTCCCCGGTTACCCACTTGACAATCACTAAATACCGGTTAACATCAGAGAGAACGAAAGAGCGCTATATTTATACTCTTACAAAATCAACTGCTATAACTCTTGCATGCTGTCCAATTTCATCTCTACCATCACGATGAGAGTTTCTGCACATGTTTACAGTTTTTCTACTTCCAACATTCATACTCTAAAAGCTTGCTATGTCAAACCAGCACAGCCACTTAGAATGATTTCGCAACCAGTTTTAGACCATCTTTACATAGAAAACAGGAGATTATCTGTTCACCGTCCAAAAACAAAGAATTATGATGAAAAGTTTTACGACAGAAAACGTTTCTTTGGTTAAAAACCTTCCCGATAATTTAATGTGACAAGGAATATCTAGTGGAGCAATATCGCGCCTATGAACTACAAAAAATGAGTTAAAATGACATTTTAATAACCCCCCTTTCATAAATAACCAAATGAGACTCACGGATATTCCTGTATTCTTCATCGCTGCACCAATAACCGCTCCTACACCAACAATTGCTGTTTCTTCGGTGACAGCACCCAATACTATTATTGCAGGTACAGTGACACTCTCTTTTTAACAAAGATAGGCAAAACTTGAACGAAATGTTGCTGCTGCTGTTATTGAATTGAAATCGTCCGTTTATTCCGAGATATCAGTACGTTTTTAACCGATAAAATTATAAAACTATCAAACTTAGCAGAATTATGCAGCCGTTGATCCGTGATAGCTACAAGAACTGTATGGTCTACGAGATATTGCTGGGTGGGTGTGAGACTACGGTACTTTATTGACGGCAAACCTCCTTTTAAATGGCTACCTTTCGGAGGAGGTCACATTATATGATAATGTTGTTTCTGTCCTGCATAAAACCCTGCTTTTTCTGTTGCAAAAAGCTATTTCTCAAGATAAAGTGAGACATCACGATGAACACTTGGCGGATGAAGAGAGGTACAAGAAGTATTGTGATATTGTACGAATTCCTGCTGCTGTAACAGCCAAGACACTAGTTTCGAGATTAAATGGTCAGTAATGTAATTATTCCTAATTTTCGGCACGTTACTTACCTCTCATAAAAGAAAACCTGACAAGTTGGTAGTCGAAAACCCATACTCTCTATAATTACACTTCTAACATGCGACAACTAAACCACTATTCTGTTCTTCGTTGTGGTTCTGTCAAATTTTTAAAATGAGTAAAGTTAGTTATATTATTTAAGGATTTTGGATTGGACCAGTACATACTCTAACAGGAATTTGCATAAAAAAAATATCGAAAGTCACTGGGCGTAGAAATACCAACAGTATCATGGAACGAAAGGTTGTTTTATCTGATGTGAAATACAAACACGATTTAAATTTATCTGACTTCGTGGTTCATCATGCTGGAATGTGAATTTTGGTTACCTTTTAGAGACTTGTTATCAAAACGTTATGTTAAGTAGCAGTGATGATAATGGTTTTCTTTTTTCTAAAGATATCATGACTAACTAGTCTTTTTTTCAGGTTCTTAAAATAATCGTAAAAAAAAATATACTTTACCGGAGCCAATTCGTCCAATCTATATAAATCTGAAATATTTCCACAGCGGTAGCATTTTTGGTCAAAATTCTAACCTATACTCCACAAGGTTCTTTAAAGAAAAGAAATAAAAGTACGTTAATAAATGTGGTAATGGCCACGTTTTGTTTGACTTGAATCACCAAACGGCAATGTATGTTTTAGCTTTCTTCTCAAAGCCAAATTAACAGTGTTATAATAAGATCTGGTAAGATTTCACATATGACTAACTGGTACATGGGAAGACCGTATTTTTTGAATACAAATTCGATAAATTAAGACGATTCTACGCTTCGTGTAGCTCTAGTATTTCAACGTTTCTACACTACGCAAGTAAAAATGAGAAGAAAAGTGTTAGTAACATTGCAGTCATTGTCACAATTGTTAGATTGCTGAAAATGGCATAACCATCATATAATGTAAAGAAGGTGACATACCAAGATTCTATTTCTTGTTTTATTATTTCAATATGAATGAGCTAGGATGAGGACTTGGAGAAAAATGGAAGAAAATGTTTTGACCTTTGCTAATTAACAAAGGCCCCATTCAAAATTTTAAACCACGACAGCTTATTTTTGTGAATGGGCTGTTAACCATCCACAGACGGATAAATACCCACATTCGTTAATGTCAAGGCCGATGTTAGTGTTCGAGACTCGGTTTCCTTGTTTTTTAACTCAAATATCCGATTTAATTCTCATATATATATGCTTATCCTGTTAAGATAAATGAGAAGGGTCAGATGATTTTTAGGTTTTAGGGTGCTGGTCTTTATTAATAAATCAGTACGTCTACACTCTTACCGGGAGGCGTGACTGCCGCAGTTTATTGGAAAGGGTAAAGATGTCTATGTCTTTGACCTAAGTTTATATTTTACTCAAAATTAATAGACCATTAACCCTGCCTAGATAATACTCATGTGGCATAAATAACGGACAGAAGAGGTATGAAAATTAAATAAATATATGCAATTACAGGAGTATGTTATCTAAGCGAGATATGAACGCTAGAATACTGGAATATTCTACAATATACCGACAATACTAATTATATAGACTGAGATCGGTTGTACCATGCGGAGAGTACATGCCTTTTTTTTAGATAATGAGACTATGTATGGTATAATCGTAAAACGAATTTTGTGGTTAACCATGAGGCATAATAGGTTCCTTTTTTCAGGGAGCATATCTATAAGGTTTTGTCTCGTATTGAATGTGTCCTATTTTATTTCATATATTTTGTACCTATTACGTGACTTATATGCCCTATTTAGATATGTCTAATGCTTACATTTCATACGTCCGTTCATAAAAATAAGTCTTTAACTATTATTGATCATCAAAATTAATAACTGCGTCCTAATAATTCCCTCAATTCATACCTTTCGTCTTGAAAGCAAGTTAAAATAAGAATATTGAACAGATTACCATTAAAAAATGATTTATTTAAAACCAAAAGAAAAGAAAAAATGGCTTCAAGAGAATAAGAAGATACTCTGTATCGAAGAAAATAAAGATAGCTCGTTACTATCACCATGCAATCGTTTGTGTCACAGTAAATAATGTGTACACATTAATTTGAAGCATGGATGCATTGGTCTTGAGTATCCATCCATTGCTTTTAAGGATACATCCATTGATTTTTACCATTCATCCATTAATTTTAAGTGTCCACGGATTGATATTGTCGTCCGGACCCTTACATTATTTCCTTTTCAATTACTTTACGTGAATCCATGACCGTTTCACTCGTTGAGGGAATTGTTCTTTGAATACACCGGCTGTTGTCAAACTATCATCAATTTTATTCGTGGTCCTAATTTGTACCGATATATCCACTCTTAAATACAAACTTACGAGATGCGTTAATAAGATCATGGACAACGCTGATATATGTAAGTGGGTCTTTTCGGAATATGATTCTCATAGTCCTACCAAAGATACATTAACGAATTATTAATGTTCATGGTTTGGGTACGATTGGTTTGGGTGTCAATTATTGAATCATTTTATCGAAACGTACATATCATGTAGTGTTTCCTAAACAGTTAAGGTTAACGAATAATAAGAGAAAACGAAAAAGTTATCCACAATATTATACCTAGTTAAGATTACATCGGAAGAAGGAAACATTTAGGAGGGTCAAAAAGCGGCTTAAACTTCTTTGTCTAAAAGGTAACGGGGGTAATGTAAAGTGAAGACTGAGTCATGTGTAATGTAGGAAATTCTGTGATCGATGGCAAAGAAGAAGACCAAAAGGGAGAATAGTAATTTGGATTAATATTAATTTAGTTAGATTTAGAATACATACGAATATAAGACTCTTAACAAAACTTTTTGCATGAGATTTAGACGGTAGCTTTTAAAATGGGTAAGGAATCTTACTAATTGGAATGATGGGATCAAAGACCATGAGAAACTTACATGGCATGTATAAGCGTGAGTATGGTTGTTGGCTTTCTCATTCAACAAATTCAACCAAAACAATTTGTAATATTATGTACAGTAGACACAAAAAAAAAAAGGGAAATGTCGAAGAATAACCAAAAAAAAAAAAAAAAATATTCAGTCTTTGAAAAAGCAACGTTACCCCAATAAAATTGATCCCCTGGAAACAATGAGCCTGTATTTTACATAAAATATAGAGTATGAGTAACAATACTGATTCTTTCCTACTGAAATATTTAGGACCAATATACCCAACGCTATTAATACTTTACTGTCCCAAGGACTTGTTCTATCTCTTTTTTTAAATAAATCAATTTGTTTGGAACTCAGATAAATGCCCAACTTAAATACGCCTTCAAATTGGTTGATTTAAGAGCTATCTGGACGAAAGTAGTACCATAAGGTTGTGATTTGTATATAAATGCAAGGTGTTTGTAGAGTATAGAAAAACAATATTAATTGACCAATAAGCATATCCTCTCATCTGCTTTGTCCAAATCAAAATCAAATTATTACCCAAACAGAGAGTATTACGCCTCAATCAATCTCCAATCTTTCATCGTAGAGTAGAATTCCGGGCGAACATCAACGCTTGCGATGAACTTTTAAAAGACTTGTAAGGGTAAACAAATTTGGGCATGAAGATGCTTTTGCCATTATATTTATTCACCTGCTAACATAAAACGTCATCATAAACATCACCATACAGCGAGGCAAAATTACATGATTGTTGAGAGGGTGTTTTGTCTTGCATTATAATAATTAGACGTTGATTTTGAGAAAGTTAAATATCACACCTTTGTCACTTCAGGAACATACTCTGAATCTCGTTTTGCGTGAAATGTATATCTGGTAAGACCATCATCCCAATCATTATTTAAGTTTTTCTCAACTGTTTTGAATGACTTTGGCAACGCAGAATGACTACTACCATTGGCATCCTTCAATGCGATGTCTAAAAACTGAAGAAAGGTATTAGCTGCTTTATCAATGAGGCCTTTCTTAACCTTAAAACTGGTAGCAATTAATCCATACATGCCTGCTCTAATTTGTGCCTCAGTTG